GCTTCTGCTGTGTTCTACTCGAAGAAGCAAACTGAGAAACTGATTGAAGCCTGCTAAGACAGCACAATTGCTCTCTAATAGCAATATAGAGATTTCAGAGAATAGGGAGATTTGTTTTTTTGTCCAAAACATTCTAGATGTTCTTTCTATCATCTGCAATCATCAGAAACTTCTTCCTGTTTTGTGCCGTAAAGCATTTCTCCTACCGATCCGTTCAGGGAACTTTTAAGGGTCCAATACGACATGCAAGGCGTAGTGATGGGCACGGCACTTCTTCTGAGTGTACTGAATCGCAAGACATTGTGAATTTAAAAAATTAATTTGGAAGATTTGTTCAGTGCTTGACCAGAGACTGCGTAGTCCCAAACGAAGACCTCACCGAATTAAAGCAAAGCTCACTGTTCAATTCAGCTCGCTAATAGGTCTATTATAGAGGCTGCCTTATTTGTGTTTACAGTAATTAAATAGTGTCAGTTCATTGATTTGTGATTTGTCATCGGTTCCAGCAACTTGAATGTGGCCTTTTTTTAATGTCATTATAAATTGAACGTCTTTGGGTTTTGGACTGTAGATTCGACTTTTCTTTAATTTCACATGCTAATCTGAATAATATAAATATAATATGATAAACATATTAATGGACAATGCAAATACTCACTAGTTCTAAACTAATGCATCTAAATCCACAAAATGCTACATCTCAAACCTTTCAGGATCTAGACTGGGGTCCTGGATGCGTGAGGATTTATGTGTGGTTTATTGTGCCAGCCAGGCAATGATGCAGATTCAGAAGCACCGCTGTGGGTTAAATTGAACCAGCAGCCGTTTTTTGCTTTTAATATTTGATACATATTCAGCTATTTTTGCCAGCAGTGATGAAAACAGGAGCAGACAGTCCCCCCCAAAAGTCAAGCCCTACATTATTCAATTTAATAATCCTGCATGATTTCTGAACAGTTAGCTCGCTCAGCAGTGCAGAACCTTTCCACAGAGGGTGAAATCAGCTCTGTGTGTGTGTGTGTGTGTTTGTTTGTGCAGTCCAAAGGAGCTTAATTGGTGTGAGCGTAGGCGGCAAGAGAGAGACAGACAGTACACACACATCTGTGTCTTTGTGCACTTCTTGTATATCTGCATGAAACACACATCTGTGTAGTGTATCTGACAGAAAACACTTTCACTCTCCTCCCTCCGTGTCCTTTCGGTTCTGTCTTCTTCTGTCCTTCCCTCTTGTCCCCTCCACCCATTCTTCTCTTCAGTGTGTTCTTTATCGCCTCCTCTGCTCCTCTTTGCACTCCTACCTTTGTGTCCTCTGCTGCTGCATCTCCTTTCTCCTCTTTGTCATCTTCGCTCCTCTCCCGTCTCACCTCTCCTCCCTCGAGAGTGAGGGGTGAGCTGAAATGATCTGGCTGTCGTGGGTAAAAAGAGCAGCAGCCGCATCAGGTGTAAATGGTTTCTGCCGTGACCACTTTACACAGCTGACTGCTCTTTGAGCTGCTGCCGAGCACAAAGTTTCTTCACTAAGTTTCCAGACATCTTTACTCTTTTTTCCCCCCTCGTCTTTTGCAGTGTTACAGATTTAGTTCATAGATCAAACTGAATGAAATCTACATTTTAAAGCAAATCATGTCAAATTGGGTTATTTCCATCTTGAACACTTTAAGCATAAATGAGCATAAATCCCACATGGTTGAACATGAGTAAATATCTTTCTATTCTTCCTACAGAACTTAAAATTTGTATTTTATTGTGTGTGATAGGCCTATTATCTATTCTGTTAATAGAGCGAGAGAGAGGGGGAGAAAGCGGAAAACAAGGAGAAAAAAAATAGTATTATACTGCTTATAATTTTTTCTCAAAACTGCAGACTCTCTGCTTTAAAAGTCTCCCGTTTGTATTCGACAGCAGTAGGTACACTGGCAGCATCAGCAGACTTTATTCTGGGACTACTAAGAAAAAGCAAGTGGAACTCAGAGATATGAAATGTAATTTCCATATTTAATCATCCAAATTTTACTCCTTGACTCAATGCGAGTGGGTGTGCGTGCGTGTGTGTTTTATGGATTTAAATGAAGACAGGAAAGTCTAGCTTCGGGGGATTTTTGTCATTCCTTTTTCCAACCTGTCAGCTACTTGTTGCCATGGTAGCGTTATGTCAGAAGAGTAACTTGGTGTGTGTGTGTGTGTGTGTGATGATGCTGACTGATGCGGCTGCAGAGGCCAGATGTGGTCATTGACACGCCGACAACCCCCTGTCATTTCCCCAGCCCACAGATGCATGAGTACACTACTCGCACTTTCATGCAAAATATAGGTCACGATGGAAATGTGGAACTGACGAGACGTGCAATAATACACACTGTGATCAACGGCTTCCCTAAACTGGCAGAAAACAAAACCCAATTTAGAACGATCAAACATGACAATAATTCTGTTTTGACCTCTAATTATAACATTTACCTTCAATCAGTGTCAATACAATGTTAAAAATCAGCTTTATCTTGTGTGTAAACCAGTCAAAAGTCATTGCGCCAGGCCATCAGAAAGTTACAGCAGCGTGAATGCAGGTCCCCGTCCAACCACAACCCTTTTTGTGTGTTTTTACATTTGAATGAGCCATGCTAGCTGTGTCTGGTTCCAGACCACTGAATCTGCGCCTAAACCCTCGATGTGCAGGCGACACGAGAAAGGCATCAATCCGTCTAACTCTCTGTAAGAAAGTGTGTGTGGGAAACATGTTATGGTCTGTGCAACTTATAAGTCGACATGATTGACACCCAGAAGGTGTGCTCTCTTTGGCTGACTCGAACACACTGTTATTGGCAGGAGCCTGCAGTAAACATGGCAAGTCCACTGTGTACATGTCACTGTTAAAATGTGACATGTCTTCACAGAAAACACAGGTAGCTCCTTTTTCATTTAGTCTCTCTTGTCTGTTTGTGATCTGTTGTTTGTGTGCAGGATATGATACTAGACTACTGTTGTTCTAATGTAACTCTGAAGTGCAATTTAGTGGCTGTTATGTCACCTTTCTGTTTGCTGTTTGTTGGGTTGCTAAGAAAAATAATCTCCACAATCCTACTGGAGTCTTACTGTATATGTGCACATTTTGGACTATTGTGTCTTGTTCATTCTCACATCACACAAACAGCCAAACACACATCACTCCAACAGTGTCCAGAAGCCACAGTATTACAGGAGGAAATTAAACAATTGTTACTTGTAGACATGTGACTAGTAAACAACTCCTGTAAATAAAATACTGCTGGCTGTTGCTGAACCAGTGGGTTTAGTAGACATTGTCACCAAAATCTTCAGTCTGTTTCCGCAAGTTCACCTGTAACTGACAAATCAGGCAGCAGTACAGCCAAGATTTTTCTCTCCTTCTCTCTCTCACTCACTCACTCACTCACTCACTCACTCACTCACTCACTCACACACACACACACACACACACACACACTCCCACCCAACAAGGAATGTAAAGCCAATACCTGTTAAGTCATGTGTGACCAGTTACAGTTAAACCATCTGCTCTGACCTCATTAGACCCATTGTCTTCACTGTGTACTGTAAAACACACTCACACACACCAGTGACAAAGCACTGCATAAGAAGCATCTAATGACGCATTCCCATTATCCAGTAAGTCTTTGGTCCGCATACAGTGTGACTAATAGAATTTTTTTATTATAATATAATGTTTTTCCTTTTTTCACCCTGTAATCTCAACCAAATTTCTTAGATGATCTACTGATGCGTGCTATATCCTAATCTTCATGACAGTAATATGTTTTTGATCTCTTTGTGTTGTTGTCATACATTACATTATTTGTCAGTTTTTCAGTGTTCTCTACTTTGTTTTTATCTCAGAAATATTAGTCAGCATAATAAATGCAGTTGGGATGCTGAGACTTCCCTGACTGTGCCTGGAGGACATGACTGAATGTTAAGAGCGGATGAATGCATGTACCGTAAATTAACACATCCACTCATGCAAAGACAACAAGCTGCTCGTGCTTGCACACATATATATGTGTATTATATAAGTATATAGCAGTACCACAGGTTACTGATGGACCACGTGAAGCAAATATTTTACACACACACACACACTATATATATTTATATATGCCCCCCCCCCAAAAAAAGGAATATTTAATATTACACATATCATGTCAGCAGATGTAAATGCAGATAGTGTGACATGCAGTCATGACTAAATTTTAAATTCAGACATGAGCTCATAAATAAAAAATCTTATGAGCACTGAAACAGAAGGATGTTCCTTTTGCTTTTCCACCTATGCTGTTCTGATTGGGGATTTTGTGTTGCATGTTTGGCTGCAAATTTGGCCGTCCTGATGTCGTTCATATTCTTTTACATAATTCATGGGAAAACCCTTGTTAAAACACACAAATACACACCAACACACTCCTCATCAATAAGTATAAACAGAATTCATGCTGTGCAGTCCCCCCTGAAAAAATAAAAACAATTCTGAAAATTCAAGGCATGCACTCATGCATTAATAATGCGTGAGTGCAAGGATAAAGTGAGACCTGAGGCCAACCAGTAATGTTTCACCTACATTTTGACAACCCGCCCTCGTTAGAGCTGTACTCATTTCACAGTTACCATACTGTCTGTAAACAGAAATACACACTTTTAGATGTATTGTACAGGTATATTAAAGGCGCCATGTGTAGCATTTCAACATCCATACACCATGACTGCATTTAAAGGGCCAGTGTGGAGGATGTAGTGGCATTTACTTGTGATATTTCTGCTGATAGATCCTCCTAAATGTTCCACACTGGACCTTTTTTAAAATTTTGCATTGAGTGGGGAACCTGCTCGACCGCTTTTAAGCACAAAACCGCAAGAGGGCGCTGTTTTAACAGCAGAGCGCAGCTGAGCTTCCAGATCTTCTGCTGACAACAGATGAACAAGAAACATTTATTAATTTATTTTGTCTGCCACTCTCTCTCTCTCACATATAGGTACCCTAAACCAGCGCAACTGGGGTAAAAAGTACCCATCCTGTAACAGTGCCAGGCAGTCTCCTGTGGACATCGATGAGATGTTCACCCAGGTCAGGCTGCAGTACCAGAATCTGCAACTCGAAGGCTGGGACCAACTGACGGCGGAGTCCAGCACCATCCACAACAACGGGAAGACTGGTAGGTTGATGTTCCTGCACTGTTATTACTACTATCTACTGTACATCTCCTGCAGAACCTGGTTTTCTTCTTTGAGAAGTAGATCAAATAATCCACTGGAATTTCAAGCTTAATTTGGCCATGATCAAAACATTGTGGAAGCCATGTCTGCAATGTCATACTGCATAAAATCCAACTAGAAGCAGCAACTAGAAGAGGAAGATACAGTCCACAGTAGATTCAATCTATGGAAATGCTTTTGACATTATTCTGGTGCTGTAAAACATGACATCTTAATCCCTAGATGTGGAAAGGAGCTTAACTTTTCCAGATATAGAAAGAAAATCATTCACAAGGTTAATGAGAGAAAGAAGCAGCAAGGATTTAAAGGAGAAAGAGTCACAGTGAGAGAGAGATGGACCAAGTAATTGAGAGAGAGGCAACTGGAGGGACAGCAGTACAGAGAGATCATGTGGAGAAGGAAGGATGATCGATGTCGAGAGGCAGAGATGAAGCCGAGCAACAGAAAAGAGGCAACAAAAGAGCAAAAAATTTATGTAGAGAGAGATAGAGCAGTGGAGAGACATTGTGAGGAGACAGTGAGAGGAGAGGCAGCGTGTGGAGTGATGTTTGGCCTGATAAACAACTGAAAACTGTCTGAGTTATCGTCACCATCTTTCCAATACAGCCTGGGCTGTGTGTGTGTGTGTGCACCCCCTATACGTTAATGGTTCTAAAATTAATCTTTTTTTCTATGTGAAGTCAAAGAGGAAATTGCATATTAAAACAGATATTGCATAGCTGTCATGATATTATCAGAGAAATATATGGCCTGCACAGTCTCACTAAAGTGAATGTTATATCCTGTTGTGAATCAACAAAGTCCTTCAACAAAGTAAGGTGAACAGGGTCTGCTGTAATATGAGAGCAAGCATCACACAATTTACATCTGCCCGGCATTAAATTGCAGACAGAGTTAGCAATCAGCTGGTGGACATGGTGGAGCGCTTGGCTGATAAGAGCCAAATATTTCCCTCAGCAGCAGGTGGACTTTAAAAGCAGAGCTAAATGAATAGCTGAATACCAGCCCTACATCAGTCAGGTGGCCAGAATTTCTAAATCACAGCTAATGTTGCTCTGTAGCTGCTGGATGTGTAAATAAAAGACCTTTTGCTAAGTTTGCCTGCATAAGGCAACAAAAAGGTCATGATATAAGACCCTAGGACTGGGCCATATAGCCAAATCATGACGAGGTGGGGCGGGGCTGGGTCCTTGCTGCAGCAGCCTGAGGTTAAGGTCCGACCTGTGGCCCTTTGCTGCGTGTCATCTCCTCTCTGGCTCCTCCCCTTTCCTGTCACTCTTCAGCTGATAATGTGACTGTTTTCTCATATGGTATTGTTGCTGAGTCATCATGAACTGCCTGTGGATTGTTGTAGATTGTGACTGGCGACATGTTGCATACTCCAACACACTCATGCTATTAATGAAGTGTATATTGGCGATATATATTGCTATTGTTTATATGGTAATTATATGTAAATGTTCTCTTTTGGTTGCTCCCAACTGGCCAAAAAAGTCAATTAATGCAGGTTCAAGTATTGTTCACGTTAATTATCACTGTAATTACAAATAACAAATGTTGACTGCCAGAAAACATTGCTAACAGACCAGAATATCCACATTTAACGCATGAATAGATGCACAACAGATCCACATATGTGTTTTGAGTTACTGCTTCCCCCCATCTTGCCAGTTGCTTAGAGGCAAATTTGGAAAAAGCTTTGGAGCCTGGTGGCCAAGTGGCAACCACCACCGCTGACTGCTGGGGGACTGAAAGATGTGGCAATCAACCACAGCCCTCAAACATCCCCCTGATTAAACCTGTTGTAGGAAAAGCTTGACTCTGGCAGTCACCAATAAAGGGGATTGTTTTTTTCTCTGTAACAACTGGGGGGGTCACCATAAAGGTTAAACTGGTGTGTGTGCATGTGTGTGTTTTAGTGGCCATCACTGTGGAAGGGGAGTTCTTTGTGAGTGGAGGAGGGCTGAGCTCCAGGTTCCGTGTTGGTAGAATCAACTTCCACTGGGGGCGCTGCAACGTGACCTCAGATGGGTCTGAACACAGCCTGAATGGGATGAAATACCCTCTGGAGGTACAGAAATACACAACATCTGTCGCCTATCCATCAACACTTTTATCGTTCACACATTTGTCTCCCAGAGTTCAGCTCACCTACCTGCTTCTCGCTCTCGTTCAGATGCAGATCTACTGTTACGATCCAGATGACTTCCAAAGTCTGGACGAGGCTATTAGGGAAGGAGGGAGGACCGCTGCCTTGGCGGTGCTCTTTGAGGTGGGTCAGCCAGTTGAGTTTGAGATCAGTCTGTGATTAAAATAAAAGTGTATATTTGTCTGCCTGCTCCACAATAGAAGCTCATGTTCTTTTCCACAGATCAGCCTGGAAGACAACGAGAACTTCAGTCCTGTTATAGAAGCCGTCAACACTGTCAGCAGGTTTGGTAGGTCTCTTCTACATACAGTGCTACCTCTCTCTCATCACTGGGTAAAAATGGATCCACAACAGATCCTTCTAAATGATACAAACTGGACCTTTAACATACAGTCTGACATTTTTAAAATGCCTGTTCCCAGGTGGTGGTCCTATATCTTGAGACAAAACAGTTATTACTTGTTTGTAACATTTTGTTTACTGACTTTTTATTTTCCAGGTAAGAGCGGATCGATGGAAGCCTTCACCTTGCGGTCCTTGCTTCCAAATAACACAGATAAATATTACATCTACAATGGCTCACTAACTGCACCTCCCTGCTCTGAGACGGTGGAATGGATCATCTTTAAACACACTGTAGCTATATCAGAAACACAGGTCAGTAGGTTTTATCACACACACACACACACAGACACACACACACACACAGGTGTCCAATGCCAATTTCTTTCATTCATAAGGAATTGATTGATTCATTTCTTTTGAAATCAATGACAGTGACTCTAACTATTAAAATAATATCATTGTGTCCGATGAAAGGCTGATACTCAGTTCAATATTAGGCGTATGGAGTCATAATGCTTCACAATATTGATGCTTGATCCCAGGCTGAAGACCTTTAAGGAACTCTGAGGAGCGGCGACTTTGGATGAAATCATCTCTGTAGTAATTATCAATTATGTAGCAGACTAATGGAGAGTGAATGAGGTCATGAAAGTGGTTGTGTGTATATTACATATGCACATTTGTGTGTGTCTGTGTGTAGGTGTGTGTGTGTGTGTGTGTGTGTGTGTCTGTTTGTCTGTTTGCATGATTGAAACGGGGGTGGCAAGGCATGACATGGGCACATTGTAGCGAACCAAAAATAGAGTAGCGCTGTCTCCCTGCCTCCGCCTGGCACCAGCACAAACCTCTTAAACAAACACACACTCACAAGCATCAGTGTTGGCTTTATTTTGGCAACTGCATAGACACAGGGAAGATGCAACAGACACATGTTTATTTTCTTTGTTTCAGTTCCTGTCTTCTTTCTGTTCGCCCATCCTCTGTCTTTCTGTCTCTGTGTACCCAGTTGGAGGTGTTTTGCGACGTGATGACGATGGAGCAGGCTGGGTATGTGATGCTGACGGATTACCTGCAGAACAACTTCAGGGAGCAGCAGCAGCAGTTCATGGGTCAGGTGTTCGCCTCGTACACCGGAGTGGAGGACGTGCTCACACCCAGTACGTCATCAAACACACAAACAAAAAGTTTACCACATGTTTGTTTCAGTATGTATTATTTAGACTTTTAGACTTTTTACACACCTCAGCTAACTGAGCCAAATGTAGGTCTAACACCCAAATCTCCATGATTATGTGAAGTGGTAAACATAACTACATACTTCCCATTACACTGCAATACTGCAAGTTAAACCAACGTGTGTCAAAATGGTATCTAGATACTTCCACTGTTGTCTGGTAATCAGCAACAATTGTTGCACAATTCAACCCTTTTCCCCCTCAGCCCTAACCCCAAGAGCTGCCCTCTTCAACCACTGTAACCTGTTAAAATTCCCCATGTTTTTTTCTATTGGATGCTGTTTTATGGAGTCAAATAAAGCTCAGGAAAAAAAAAAGAGGAAAAAATGTGAATGGTATTTCTAAAGCATGAACACAAAACAAGATGGACAGAAAAATGACCATTATTTTGAAATAATTAGAAAATCAATTAATTGTTTTTTGTTTTTTTTTGTAGTGCCTTCTTGTGTCTTTTCCACCTCTGCTCTTAGTTCTCAGTTTTGTTTCTGTTTCACTCTTCTCGTTCTCTGTGCTGCTGAGCCTGTTTTGACACGGGTGGGGGCTCAGTGCCCACAGGCCATCCAGCAGCTTGCTAGGTGGAGAACTGATAACTGTGCTACACGACTGCAGCTTTGTTTCCAAGTTTCTTCTTTGATTTACAGTGTTGCTTTTTCTGTTTACAGTTTTTGGTTCAAATTAAGATGATTTTACAGAATTATTTTTATTCAATTTACATTACACTGAGCTTAATTTATTGTATTTTTTAGTCTTTGGAGCTAGTCATGTGGCTTTTAATTTTAACGGCAGAAATCTCAGCAGCCAAATATCAACTGAGAAACTGGTATTGATCAACAGTTGCTATTAACTCCCTGCAGATACAGTTTGTTATGCTTGGGTACTATGAAGAAGTCTTCCTTATTAGGCTTTAAAGACTTCAACCCAGAGTCTCCACTTCTCCGGAGCTCTAAATCTATTCACTTATCTAATTTATACCAAATTTTTGGCAGCATGGTGAAGGATATTAAACCCCTCCTCAGGGATCAATATAAATAATACATTATTAATCTTATTTTTCTCTATAACTGAAAATATTGCCCGTCCTCTGCTTCCTTTCTAGCTGTAACGCTGTCCTCCAAGGTCAGCCTCGTCGTGATCATCAAAAGATATAATTCACAACGCTCTCCATCTTCATAATGTCGACCCTCAAGTAAAGTGGGTCTTTTGGGTTGCCAGGGAGCTCGACTTTGTAGTTTAGTGCCCCTGCTCCTCTCAGCGCAGGCAATTTATTTTTGCAGCTCTTTTTGAAATTGAAATAAAGTGTTCAGAAATTCAGAAAAGGGTCTTTTTGCCTGTAACAAATTCATGCAGCCATACACACACACACACACACACACACCTCCCACTCATTGCCACGCTCACCTCCTGAGCTGGGCTCTTTAAAATGTATTTCTGTTTTCTTCCATTTCCAGTGGAGTCGATTAACGTCAAGTCACCTTCAGCAGCTCAACTTAATGTGGGATGTCGCAGCGTTTCTGTGCTGTTCATGTTTAGATGTCCAGTTGTACCTTCAGTGTTTCTTCATCTCTTTCTTTAAGGCTTCCTATTGAGTTTTCTGCCACATCCACACTAATCAATATTTAAATGTTCTTACCAATCTTGCCCTCTTTTTTTCTCTCTTTCTGCCATCTCTAGTCTGCAGCTCGGAGCCAGAGAACGTTCAGGCCGATGCCCAGAACGACACGACCATCATGGTGATGTGGGAGCGTCCCCGCGTGGTTTACGACACCACCATCGACTGGTACACGGTCACCTACCAGAGGCTGCAGGGCAGAGACCAGAGCAAGCAGGAATACAGAACAGACGGGGACCAGGACGTGGTACGAAAGAATCTCTTCACATCTCTTCACAATACAGAGAAAACCAAACAGCTCAGCTTTGACTGCATGTAATGTATTTGCACCATTATCTACAGGCCACACAGGTACATCTGATAAATAGATAATAGGTAGAAATTACAGCCATTCCCTTTTCTCCTGCAGCAAATATTAGAACATCATTTGTCAGTCATCCCTCCGCTCTCACTCTATCCGTCACACTCATACTGCTACTGCTGTTGGGATCGGGATTGATCAAAGTGATTGATTGATCGATGGTCATGATCAATCTTGGCCTCTCAACGGGTCATCGAGCATCCCTTAAAGTGACCAGCAATATGTGTGTATGTGCATTTACATGTATATCTGCGTGCGTCTGTGTGTGTATGTGTGTAGATGAGTCATCAATATTCAGACCAACGTACTGCGACACAAGTGACGGGCCGTTAGAAAATGTAATCCCCACCTTTTGCTTGCAGACCTTCCAGTATGTTTGGAAGTGCATTATTTGTTTTGTCTGTGTTTTTTATTTTTTAAAGGTTCTTTATATTGATAAATTAGGAGGGCTGAGCTAAACTACAACCAATATTATCTATATTAAATGTTTGCTTTACAGTACATCATACATTGCTTTACTTTACATTTTGTGTTTGCAAGAGTTTAACATACTACACAAACACACTGTGGTAATGCAATTATGACTAGATTATAGTCTCTATTATTATATAGAGATGTACTCAAGTTCATAGTATAAAGCTATAGAGCATGAGGTAGCTTTTATGTAATAATTATTGGTGTATGTGCAACTTGAAGTTATATTCTGTAAATGTCAAATACAACATGGTTAGCAGTGTTCATTTATGACTCATTTCCCAGCAAATCTGTGATTTCACCCAGGGGTATTTGTATCCCGGGGGTACTTCTGCAGTCACCAGGCGGCACATGGAAAGATTACAAAGTAGTTCAGCTAATTGATGATGCTTATCTTTAGTATTTTTATTGTCTCAATGACCAATAAACCACCACCTATGATAAGCTGACTGCACAGGACAACCCCCCACCACTGACCTTGACACCAAGTGCTGCAAATGAGAATGAGCAATTGGAGAAATAGATAGAGATCCAAGTGGCTGTAGCATGAAGGCACACTTGACAAAATACACTGAAACAAACAGACCAAACATGAACAATTCCAGGGTCATCATCATCACATCATCATCACATCAACAGTGTTAAATAACATTCAAAATCATTCACTCATTTAAACTGTGTGACTTTTCAGGGTGCCATCATCCCCAGCCTGCTCGCTAACAGCAGCTATGTGGTTCAGGTGGTCGCTGTTTGCACCAACGGACTCAGAGGACGATGGAGCGACCAGATTGTAGTGGACATGCCATTAGAAGACCCTGGTACAAACACACACACAAATACTCCTACAAAGTAAGAGCATATATTTGAAATGCTTCAGTCGACAGTCTTTGCTTCTTTCCTCTCTCTGTAGAAAGCGATTCAGATCCTGACACTGTCACAAAAGACTTGGAAGGCAACAAGGAGGTAGGACCTGATACCACTCCGCATGTTGGAATTGAATTTGAGTTTTCTCTGTTTTCACTCATATCAGTGAACCTGATTATTATGCAAATTATTGTAATTATGTCAGTAGAGGCTTGTCATTGAGTGTTTGGAGAGCAGCACAAAAGGTTATAAAGGACTTTCCAGCATGTTTAAGAGGGAAATCTGAAACACTATAATGCTGCTGTGTTTACTGAGAGAACCAGCACAGCCTGTGCTCTTCCAAACTGCATTAATGGATATTACTTTATGTCTTATTATGAGTTCATTTGAATGTTGAAGAAGTAAACAAAACAACTGCACCACCACTCTGTCTTTGGTTAATATTCACCTAATTTAAGGAAGAAGTGGTGACAGCATGAAAGCCCTTTACGTGTTTTTGTTCCCAATGGCCTGTCCCTCATGATATACCTGGTATATAACCAAGCACCTTCTGACACAGCTCCATTCAGTAGTGCCCTTTTCTTTTTTTCTTTTTTCTTTTTTCTTTTTCTTGGTAGGTCTCATCTAAAGCCAGATGGGAGAAACCAGAGAACCAGAATCAGGTGGATTTGTCTCCAGAGGACCACAGCCCCGTGGAGGAGATCCCAGTGGAGCAGACTAGAGTTTACCAGAACCAACCTAAGCACCAACAGAACCAGCCCGGACTCCAAACCCAAACAAACCAGAACTTCCCAGTCCAGGCCAGCACCCGTTCGACTCCAAAGACTCCCTCCGAGTCTGCCGTTTTACAGAAAACGCGACTCAACCAGAATGTGAAAAAGAAGCCGATTTGGAATAAGGAGGAACCCGATTATGTGAATCAGAACTGGATTGACGAGGACCAGGAGGTCCCAACACACCAGCCGATCAATAAGGCAGGTTTTGACGGCAATGGGGCAATATGGGTAACTGATGTAACTGAGCAGCCAGGCTTCCTGTTTCCAGTTGCTCGGACAACTACCCTGCCGACGATCCGCCGACAAATCACAGAAGAGGCCTCGCTGTCAGTGCTTCCACATCAGGTAGTTCACTGAACACGTTGCCTATTTTTCTCAATGGGTTTATTTCCTTCATCCTTTATTGAAAATGTATTCAATATAATACCAAATTGTTTTAGTTATCCAAAAATTTGTTCATGTTTCTTCCTTATCCAAGAAACCTTTTTTTGTGCTCTGCCTTTTCTACTTGCAGTCAAGGGATCCACCAGACCAAGCTGATGAAACTGAGCTCCCCTCTCCCCAGTCGGACCTCTACACCCCTCCTGTGGAGGACATCCAAGTCACAGATGTCTTCTATGAAGACACAGTCAACAACTCTCCACTAGAAACCCCCACCTCTGCCTCAACAGTGTCTGCTGCTGCTGCTGCTGCTGCTGTGTTGTCAGGTCAGATTTGATTTGAAGAGCTTTTTCTTTTTTTTGGCACTCTTGTTTACCAAAAACATCTTGGGTTGGTGCTGCTGCTGCCTTTCTGCAGTGCCAAGGAGGAATTTAAGCTCATAAATATTTGAATAGGTACCAGCAGAAAATGTTTCCTCTGCTGGACGCTTGCCACAGATTCTGCTCAGATTAACACTGATGTTTAGGTTGTGTTGTTTTTATAGCTTGATTTTAAATTGAATCTTGTTTAAATGTATACATTTAATAAATGTTTCAAATAAAAAATATGAACAGCTACTGCTGCTTAAGTGGTAATCATAACAGATGGCTGTTGAATGGTTGTTCACTTTTGATGTTTAAGTTTGCTAACCTTGTCTCGACAGCCAGAAAAGATGTTAAGATGTCTATTTAACTAGTGTTTCTTGTTTTTGTTGATTGTTTAAAAATGTGACATGATGTCTCATTACATCACTTCACATGACGTCCTACATTAATTAATTACATCATGGCACGTCAGATCATCATGTCGCCATGTGACATCACATGAAGTAACATCCCGTTTGGCCATGTCATGTTGAGATGTGGCAACAGGTGTCACCATATTATCATTGTTTGCGTTCTGTCCCACAGGTAACGAAATGGATGAATTCTCACCACCGTCCTCCGACGATGGTGATGCCCCTGTAAACAAACCCCTACCAGAAACCATCACCTTAGTGTCCTCCACACCCTCCCCCCTCTGGATAACGGCGAGGGCAGCGACCGCCAGCAACACACTCGCTGAGTCAGTCTACAAATCATTCACCACCTCCTCTCTGCTCAGGGTGCTGATGCACACAACCCAGCCCATGTTTAATGGTAAGATGAACACCCTCTCTACAAAGATATATCATATACCATTAAAGATGTGACTTTTACTTCCTTTACTTTTAAATGCATCTATGAATTTATAATGGGAGGGATTTTACATGGCAGCAGCATGGTATAAATAAATGTTTTTATGTGGTGGGTTGACAGCTGGACTTAATTGCGGCGGATGATTGCCTGTCTCCTCTAATAGCCCACTGCTGTTGGCTAATCACTGCTGTGCTCTGCGATCTCGGTGGCATGTTGTATAGTGGCATGATGTAGATAATGCTGGTGGTGGTGGTAATGATGATGGTCGAAAAAGAATAAGCTGGCGTCGATGATGATTAGAGTGATAATCAGCGGCTGCCTCACTCTCTGAACTGGTTCAGAAATTAAATATGCTCTGATGCTTGCTGAGTTATGACTCCACGTGAGGTCGTACTTTTCCTGGCTCTGTATAATCTACTCGAGTCCACTCAAGCTCTGTGATTAGCATCTACTTTTGGGATTCCTCTTCTGGGTCTGCCTTCTTTTCTGTGGCTCAATGGTGCACTCTGGTGGTTGTTGTATTTTTCCTTCTGTCCTTCTCACAGAATGCAGGGTTCACTTCATCTACAGTGGCGCCTTCTCTGTGTGTCTTCACTTTATTCTCTTTATTCAGGAAACCAAAAAATAACTTGAAATTCTTGGTTCTCTTCTTGCATTTTGTATGTGGTTCGGGCATGATGATGCCAGGAAACCACCATTGTTAAGTCAAGACTGTCCTTGTGTCTGAATTTCTCAACTTCAGTCAAACTATACCTTATTTGGGACGTTCAATTCTGACCTTTTCTTCCATCTTTCCTGGCATGAGAAGCACATTTTGAAAGGACACTTCACAGTGCTGGTGTCCTGGAAAAGTTTTCTGTCAGACCTTTACTTTGGCTTTTCTTTCAGCAAATACACCCTCTTCCAAGGTTAAGGACTCAGCCACTGATCAGTCCTCTGGCTTAACAAACTCTCCTAACGCTCCTCGTGGAGTGACTGCCAAGCCTCCAAATCCTGCGGTCTCAGTCCCACAAGGAGGATTCTCTGCTGAAGGAGATTTATTCAGTGTCACGTCTGAGTCCCTTGACCCTTTTAATGAATACATCAACAGTTTCCGTCCTTCTGCTGAAGATAAGAGGAGCGGCATTATCTTTCATCATAATGACAAGACTGCTGAAGAGCACTCTATTGTCCATGCACAAATGGATTTAGTACACCCTCAGACCTCTACCACTTTGGGTTCTCTAGATCGCTTAATCACTGCATACTCCCTTCCTCTCGTGCCTGATAATGACTTGAGTACCATCAACTTATCAAAAACATACACAGTTGAGGGAAATACCCCAAATACTGATGGTAGGATTCAAGACGGTCTGAACATCTTGCCACTTCTCGACAATGAAGAGGATGGCGGGACGGATAGACGTGAAGAGGAAAAGAACTCATCATTCTTTGACTCTAGTGGATCAGGCTCTGGCTTTTATGGCAACAGGCTCAATCAGGAGTTTGATGGAGTCACTACAGTGAAGACTGACCTTTCTACTATTCTAAACTCAGCTGTTAGCTTCAAGGTGGATAACACTGTGAAGAAAAGTAAATCAAGAGGAATTAAGATGGATAGTGAAAAATACGATGTTACAGATGGGGGAAGTGAAATAAGTAGAAAGAAAGAGAGTGAAACAGCCGCAGAGACACAAAGTGTACACGACACTGTGAATCCGAGAGTGAGGAAAGTGGATGGTGAACCAGATGAGAGTGTCAGACGGCTCAATAGCACAGCAGGTTGTGACACGCTGGAAGAGAAAGAGAGAGAAACTGAAGGTAAGACTTTAGCAGGAAAGATAATATACTCTGAGACCGGCAGTGGGGATAAAATTGAGTCCTATTTTAGAATTTTTAGCTGGCCTGAGGACGTCCATGGTTCTGGTGATGGCGATGGAGAGAGAACAAGAAAAGTAAAGAAAGTCAGCGATGACACACAAGGTATCAAAGCTGTCAGTAAAAATCAAAGTGGTGGTGGGAGATACAACAAAGAAGTTGTATCTGGACGAAGGGATCCAGGTCTCCAACTGTCTGCCAGTCGAGATAAACCTACAGCAGAGTCCCCACTGTTTGGCAGCAGGGAAGAAAATGACAATGGTGGTGGAAATGATGAAGAAAAGAGAAACATAAGTCTTGACAGTCACATCGTTGGGGGTAACCCGACTCTGGAGGATAACAAAGAGGGAGACACTGATGGTAAAAGTAATGGGGGTCTGAAGATGGAGGAACACATCAAAGGAGGTGGTAAGGAGGACAGTGATGCAGCTGTGATTGGAGAGAATTTACAGCAGTTCTCAACTGTGGACGGGTTGTTGTTTCATGCTGCAAGAAGTCCTGTGTTGGGGCGTCACGTCCCTCTGCTCAGACTGACAGATGGCAGCAGGGCCGCAAAGGAGCAAACGGAAGGTAAATGTCTCTTAATGCTGAGCTTCTCCTCAGCTCTGCCTCTCTGCGACCGAATGCGACAGGGCAGTTTGCCCTCTTACATACTTCTTTCATACATACAAGTTAGTGTCAACCTACACGG